TGACTGAGGTGCAGTATATAATGAGCGACGTGGCCAGCGTGGGGGACTCGGATGGAAGGCGCCTGAGGTTTTGCTCTGGCCTGTGATTTGTCTATAAAGCCTGGTCTGTTGTACCCGTCTTTTTCCTATTAGGGCTCGAGTATTCCACATTGGTGGCAGAGGACGCGTTCGAATTACGCGAGTTGGACCCCAGCCCTTTCTCTTCTATGGACAAGAGTCAAAGACCCTTGAATGCCGGCTGAATTTGTCATGGCTTTCATATGATGTCCCATACATTGGATCAATAGACACTGCCCGGGAATAGGACTACTGCATCTGAAGAGGCATTGGCAACTCAGCGACGACGACTTGGACAGTGAAAGCCAGCTGGACTGCAACTGCGAAGGACCTTCAATGGATGATGAGTCCTTCCTGCAAGTCTACAAGAGCAAAGTCCCTCGTCAACTGTTCGCTTTGGCCACTATCCTGTCAGATGTGGGATGCGGGGAGTGTCGAATTGGATATTTTACTACTCATGAACAGTGCAGTGAACCAGGCCAGAAGCTGAGGACAGCTTCACTGCTGAGGGGGAGGCAGTGCGACGTCGGATCAGGGCGCAGACATATTGGACCACCTGGCCTCAGCCAATCCTGTGTCTCTCTGCGTTACAATGTCATGCGTGGAAGATGTGCAGCCAACCAGAGAAGGACACGAATGAGGAGCAATATATATTGAGCGGCGTGGCCAGAGTCGTGGACTCGGATGGAGGGCGCCTGACATGTTGTTCTGGATTGTGATTGGTCAATAAAGCCTGTTCTGTTGTACCAGTCTTATTCACACTTTGTCTCGGGTATTCTTCACCAGGGCGCAGAAATATTGGAACATTTTGAGCCCATCTAATCCCTTGTCTTCGGGCACTTTAATGGCATAAGTTGAAGATCAGCAGCCAATCTGAGGCAAAGACGCCAGAGAAGAGCTATAAAATGAGTGTCGTAACTTGTATAGCAAAATTGGATGGTCGGCGCCTGACGTGGGTGGCCGGCCCAAGCATTCTACAAGTGTCAATGTAGGCTGTAACTATAATGTCATCGCCGGTCGTTCACTCGAAACCATAGCCAGAAACTGATGAAGAGAAAGGCGCAGCCAACGTTTTACATATCATGTAAATGCGAAGGAAGTGGTAATTCACAACGGATCATGCATTGGCATGGCAAACATTCTGGCATTAAAGTAAATAAGCAGGCAACCTGGAACACACGTGATTAGAAGCGCACATTAACGCAGTGGGATACCATCAAGAAGGACTCAGATTAGGGAGAACATGAAATTTTTTTTACTGAGACATCGTGACGGTCCAAATGGTGAATACGACTATCAGTTTATAAATGATAAGAACTGATGCAGCTCTGAATAGTAAGGTTATCACACAACTTTGGGAGATGGCTGCATCGATGAATTTGAAACTGACCAGGTACCCTGTTGGTCACCAAGGCTCATAGCGCTAAAGCTTCGTCTGCCTTGAGCGCGATTCAAGCATTCAATCATAATTTAAATTAGGGTTATTTGTTGGTTTCAGCCATCAATCAATGGCAAACAAATCTATAATTATGTACGTGATTACCTCCTGAGATATCCACATCTAAACCGCATGTTTCCTTGTTGACTTTTGAAAGAGAGTCTGATTAGTCTAAACAGCGACGGTGAACGCAATTACAGCTAGTGCCAGATACATCGCAAGCTGCAAACATCACAACCTGACTACCTGTGTTAATTTGGTCAGCCTGACTCTTACACTGATGTTATGGAAAACTCAATCTAAGGTTTAAGCCATTGTGAATACAACGGAGCTGCACAACAGGGGCGCATTTGGGAAAATGTGAAATGGAAAACTGGGCTATGATGTGCGTGGTTGGATTTAATAATGATTAGA